CTTTAGGAATATGTAGAGAAGGTAAGGCAAACATAGATGGAGAATTTGATAAATTAATTTTTTGAGTTCAAGATAATATCGAGACTATGTATTAGGCCTTGCTTGTGCAATCCCATCCCATGAGGAAGGCGGACTACACCCAAACATGTAGTTCTTGAAATCGAAACTTGAGTCCTTCAATTTAGTTATCTCTTATATTGACACACACAAAAAAACACAACTCCTAAACAACTTGACACGGTTGCTGATTGAATTGCCTGGTGCAAAATGGACATAGGAACAAGTACTAAAAAAGTTTTCACCAAAAAAAAAAAAAAGTACTAAAAAAGAAAAAGATCCTTTTCTGAGCCACTAGATTTATGCGCATGTGCGTCATGACCGGTTCTTGGTCTTCTTTTCAATCAATGAATAATTGTGTCGGCACTTGTGATATTAGCCACGATGGAAGTGCACTAATCATCGTGATCTCTTTGTTAAGGGCTCTTTGTCAAGAGTTTCTTCTTCTGCTCTGCTCACCGGACCTTCGAACCCGGAATCCATGACTTGAGTGTTTGAAGACAAACGCTCAGCCATTAGGACTGGGAAGAGGCCGGTCTCTTTGTCAAGAGTTTAAGGTGCAGTTGCAATATTATTGTAAATATTTCTCAATTTTTCAATTTCTCACCGTTCAAATAATAATAATAATAATGAATCATTTTATCATAGTCACCACCGTAATATATGTCAGAGATTTATGTGGTGTCCATTTCATCTCCTTTATTCCTGGTGGGAAATATTCAAAATAGAGTTGAGAAGGGAAACAAGAAAGGGGAAGCAAAACATGACAAACCGAGTTTTTCAAAAGCTCTTCTAAATACAATATTGTAACTTCTGAAATTGAAATGAAACTTTTGCAAGTTGACTTCTGAATTTAATTTATAGAATTATTTATAATAATTTTAAGTAATATGATGATTTAATATGTAGTTCTAAAAGTATTAAGATTCTTGCAAATTACTACTTGTTAAGAAATTAATCTCAAGATGGTGTAAATTAACTTAAAGATACACCTTACAACCATTTAAAGCATAAAAGAAATTCTAATTATTACGGATAATATATTATTGATGTTATAAAGCTTTAATTAGATGAATCATTCCATCTCCAAATTAAAAAAAAAAAAAAAAATACACGCCCTCTTCCAAGACTTTATCAAGTTACAAGCCCATGGCAAGTTTTGAGCCCTAGATATGAGTAGATCTTTAAACTACTCCATTAGAGGACATTAAACATATCTGGATAAATATAAATGGTGCTCATCTAAAATGAATAGAACTTTATTAATTTTTTTTTCTTTATCCATGAATAGAAGCTTTTGAAGGGAGAATCACTGGTACATGAAAAGAAGGATGCGTGGGAATGGCAGCTGGAAAAATCAAGGAGATACTCAACAAAATCAGCGTATGCAACGTTGTCCAAGTTAGGTGAGAAGAAGCAGTTTACCTACAAGAAGATTTGGGAAGCACCAGTACCATCAAAAGTAAATGCCTTTTCGCGCCAATTGTTGCTAAGTAGGCTACT